GAAATAAAAAATGAAACAAACAAAAACATGGTCCTTCTTACAGGTAGCTAAAAAAGCACTGTAAGACTGTAATGTTTCGTTCAAAGATATTATAAAAGGGCGACAAAATCTATAGACAGAGTAAGAGCTTAGTATAATTGGTGCACAAGTGTTCTTGGTAGTAACTATATATAGTAATGCCAAAAAGAGATCAAAAGAAAAGTTAAGCAAGTAAAGATTACAGAAAATTTTAGAAGCCTTATTTTATTCAAATTCTCAATAAATCTTTGACCCTCATTGCTATGCCTTCTTGTTCCTGGACCTGAGTCTTTCCTTGTAACAGAAAAGTGATGGCTTTCCACACTGTTTCTGCAAATCTTAAAAAGCACATATCTGAACATCTCTGGAAAATCTTTCCAGACCACTTCAGTCCTTATTCGTCTGAACTTTATTAACATTTGGAACTTAAATTGTATCAAGGTAATGTCTCAAGCGTTGGTTTTATTTCTCTGATGACATTATAAATTCTATAAGGACATGGGCCATGTCATTTACTACTTCTGTTTGGTATAACAGTCACGCACTTTTCAAATTAATTCTGATTCCCTAGCATGGGAATAAAAGAAAAATACACTTTATGCCTCCAGGCCTGTTTCATGTAGGCAAGTAAACAAAGTTCACTGAAGTTCTAAAAATAAATAAGTAATCCTAAGTTAAGATTCACTGAAAAGCCATGATGTGCTTAAAGAATTTATAAAAGTAGGCAAATAACATATTCTACAGTTACAAATTTACATTTGTAGAGTGTGGAATATCTTCTAAGAATCATTGCTTTGAGGAGGAAAAACTGCCTGTAGTTCATAAACCTCTGCTTCTGGAAGAGTTAATGTTAAGGAAACAAGGAAGAAAAACCACAGGGCTGATGGCTTGAAAACAGGAAACACAGTGTAGGGATAAAAGGCATGTACTTGGGTAGAAAATTATAAGTGACAAAGAATTTTAGCTATCAGTACTACCGTTAAATTTTATTTAATACTTTACAATCAATTGAAGGAATAATCCTAAATTCCTGCGAAAACTGAAAATGTTAAGTCAAAAGAATGCAGGAAAACTTCTTAACAATCTATTTGAAAAGTAGCCAGTTAGCTTAAATATAGTCCAAAGGAAAATAATACCTAGATAAAATTAAGTTTTTGAAATTTTTATTGAGTTGTAGTTCTTTATATATTATAGTTAAAAACGTTTGCTCCTAGTCTATGACTTGCCACTTCATTAACTTAATGGTGTCTTTTGTGTATGTGGTAAAATATACATAACACAAAATTTACCTTTTTAAGAATTTTAAAGTGTACAGTATAGCAGCATTAAGTACATTCACATTGTGCAACCATCACCACCATCCATTTTCTCCAAACAGTATCCACTGAACAGTAACCCCCACATTCCTCCTCCCCAATAAGAGTTTTTTTTAAATATGTTTTTATTGATTTTATTAGAGAGTGAGGAAGGGAGAGATAGAAACATCGATGTGAGAGAGAAACATCAACTGGCTACCTCCTGCACATCCCCTACTGGGGACTGAGCTCACAACCCCGGCATGTGTCCTGACCAGGAATCGAACCAGGACCACACACAATACACTGAACCGCACTGGCTGGGCAGGATCTTTTTTTAAATCCTCACCTGAGGATATTTTTCCATTGATTTTCACAGAGTGGGAGGAAGAGAGGGACAGAGAGAGAGAGAGAGAGAGGGAGACATCAATGTGAGAGAGACATATTGATGTGTTGCCTCCGCATGACGCCAACCAGGGCTGGAGACCAAATTGCAACCAAGGTATGTGCCCTTGCCCGGAATGGAACTGCAACTCTGGTCTGCAGGCTGATGCTCTAACTGCTGAGCCAAACCAGCCAGGGCTGGGCAGGATATATATATATTTTTTATCCTCACCTGAGGACATTTTTCCATTTTTGTTCAGATAGGAGTGGGAGGGAGAGAGAGGAAGAGAGAGAGAGAAACATCGACGTGAAAGGGACACATCAAGTGGCTGCCTCCCACACAACCTCAACCGGGGCCGGGGACAAACTGCAACCGAGGTACGTGCCGTTAGTGGGAACCGAACCTGGGACCCTCTGGTCTGCGGGCCTACGCTCAAACCGCTGAGCCAAACTGGCCAGGGTTAATAGGCAAAACTTTTAATTTTGATGAAGAACAATTTTCATTCAACATTTTTTTCTTTTTATGCTCTTTAAGAAATCCTTGTTTACCCAAAAGTTACAATAATATTTTTCTGTTTCTACTATAATGTGTACTTTTAACTTTTACACTTATGTATGTGATTCAAATTGAATTAGTTTTTATGTAAGCTGCTAAAATATGCCTCAAGGTTCAATTTTTTTCTCCATGTAGATACCTGGTTAATTTCTAGAATCATTTCTTGAAATGAACTACGGTTGTCCCTCGCCACTTCGCGCTTCGACTTTCGCGGCTTCACTCTATCGCGTTTTTTTCAAATATAGTGTAGTAAGTGGCGAGGGACGATTAGTAAATAAAGAATCCTACTTCGCAGAAATTCATTTATCGTGGTAGTCTGGAACTGATTAACCGCGATAAACAAGGGCTGACTGTATATAAATGTAGGCCTAGTTCTGTACTCTATTCTGTTCCATTGATCTGTTTATCTTAATATCCCACTATCTTGACATCTATACTTTTATGTAGTAAGTCTTGAAATCAGGTAGTATATTCCAGGTTTGGTCCCCCTCCCAAGATTATTTTGGCTATTCTAGATCCTCTGAATTTCCATATACATTGTAGAATCAGTTTATCAATTTCTATAAGAAAGTCACCGGAATTTTGATTACGACTATAATCTAGAAAGAATGGTCATATTAACACTACTAAGTCTTCCAATTCATGAATATGAGTTATCTATTTATTTAGAGTTTTTTGAGGTTTTTTATTCTCACCTGAGGACATTTTTGCATTTAGAGTGGGAGGGAGAGAGGAAGGGAGAGAGAGACACATCGAGTGGCTGCCACCCTTAAGACCCCAACCAGGGGCCGGAGACTAACCGCAACCAAGATACATACCCTGAGGGGGAACCGAACCCGGGTCTGTCTGATCCACAGGCCGACGCGCTGACCGCTTAGCCAAACCAGCCAGGGCTATTTAGAGTTTTTAAAATTTCTCTCAGCAATGTTTATATATAAAGTTTTCAATGTAGAGGTCTTTCACATCTTTCATTAAATTGATCTCCCAAGTGTTTTGGTTTGCAATAAATGCATAAATAAGTGGAACAACGATCAATGTTTCGCTCTAAAATCAATAAATTCTGGTTCGAAGCTATTATAAATAGCATTGTTTTAAAATGTTGATTTTCTAATTGTATATAAAAACAATTAAAAAAATAAAAATAATATTTACATATTGATCATATATCCTGCATCCTTGTTAAATTTAGTTGCTAGTTCTACAATATTTTTGGTTATGAGTTTTTATATAAAAGATCCTGTTAACTGCAAATAAAGATGGTTTTAACCCAGCTGATGTGGTTCAGTGGACTGAGCATCATCCCATGGACTAAGAGGTCCCAGTTCAATTCCTGGCCCAGGTATATGCCTGGGTGTGGGCTTTATCCCCAATCGGGAAATGCAGGAGGCAGCCGATCAATGTTTCTTTTTCATATCGATGTTTCTCTCTCTCTCTAAAAAAGTCATTAAAACATTAAAAAAACAAAAAGACAGTTTTACTTCTTCCTTTCTAAGATTTATTCTAAGGTTGATTTTCTGACCTCATGGACTAGGACTTCCAGTACAATGGCACACAACCTTGCCTTGTTCCTTATCTTAGGAGAGAAAGTGTCAATATTTCACTATTAAGTGCTATATTAGCTGTAGGTTTCAGGCTGAGGTGATACCTTTTATTTGAGGATAATTTTTACTGTGAATGAATGTTGAAATGCTTTCCACATGTATTGAAATGAACATACAGACTTTCTTTTTTATTCTGCTGATATATGAATTAGACTGATTGGTTTTTGAATGTTAAGTTAACCTTGCACTCCTGAGACAAACTTCTTTAAGATAAATCTGTATACACAAAGCATAATATGAACACCAGCAAACTTGATAAACAGATGAACAGAAGAGTCACTAACCCTTCACCACAAAACTTCACCTTAGGGTTTATTTCATGTTCTCTAGGTACTTACACATCCATATGATGACCAGCACTCTGCAGTCCATCACCCATTTCTTTTTCTATGGCACTCCATTCACTAGAAAGAAAAAGATAAAACCAAAAACACTGTGTATTAGATATGGAACAATTAGATATGGAACATTATTAAGTGGAATATTTATTTATTTATTTATTTATGGTTAATCCTCACCTGAGGATATTTTTTCCATTGTTTTTTATTTTTATTTATTTATTTATTTTTATCCTCACCCAAGGACATTTTCCGCTTTTGTTCAGATAGAGTGTGAGGAAGAGAGAGAGAAAGAGAGAAACATAGCCAAGAAAGGGACACATCGAGTGGCTGCCACCCCAGGCCCCCAACCAGGGCCGGGGACAAATCACAACCGAGGTACATGCCCCTGACTGGAATTGAACCCACGACTCATTGGTCCACGGGCTGACACTCTAACCACTGAGACAAACCGGCCAGGGCTCCATTGTTTTTGAGAGACAGCGGAAGGAGTGAGGGAGGAGAGGGGACAGAGAGAGATACAGAGAGAGAAGCATTAATGTGAGAGAGACACATCGATTAGTTGTCTTCCGCATGTGCCCCAAATAGGGCCGGGAATTGAACCTGCAACCCAGGTACATGCCCTTGACCAGGAATTGAACCTGAGACCCAATGTCTCTCTCACATCAATGTTTCTTTCTTCCTTTCATGTGCTCATGCTCTTTCTCTCTCTCTCTCCCCCTTCTCCCCCTTCTCCTCCTTCTACTCCCTCTAAAAATCAATGGAAAAAATATCCATGGGTAGGATTAAAAAAAAGAATGTGTGGAGAGCCTGGTAATAGATTTATGGTGGGCCCTTCTCTGTGGGCCTCACTTGGTGTGCCCATGTCAGAGTAAATTTCAGCCTCAAACCACTGCCCAGCCTCCTTACCAGTGAGCTGTGAGTACTGAAGGGGACTGTACAGTGTGAAAAATTTTTAAAAAAGAAGAAGAATGGGTGTGGAGAAGCAACTATGGTAAGGGGAATTTAGACCATAAATACTGAGTTTGTGAGGACTATCTGAGTTTCTGTTTGGGTGTGGCAGCTCTTTGCTAACCAAAGAAACTCTCTGAAGTTCCTTGGGGCATTAGCTCCTGCTATGGGCAGTGGCTCAGTGGTCCCACAAAGGAAGTCACCCTGCCTGCCCACACCAGCTTCTTTGTTCCCTAGCTACATGTTCTAGCAACAAGTAAATTTCACTTTTACACTGGCAGCTGGAAATCAGTTCTTGGTTTGTCACCGACTCTGCCTTGTATAAAAAAATACGCCTCACCCCTGGCCGGTTTGGCTCAGCGGTTGGAGCGTCGGCCTGCGGTCCGGAGAGACCCGGGTTCGGTTCCCGCTAAGGGCACGTACCTCGGTTGCAGTTTGTCCCCGGCCCTGGTTGGTCGTGCGGGTGGCAGCCACTCGATGTGTCCCTTCACATCGATGTTTCTCTCACTCTCTCTCTCTTCCTCTCTCTCCCTCCCACTCTATCTGTACAAAAAATGGAAAAATATCCTCGGGTGAGGATTAAAAAAAAAAAAAAAAAATGCCTCATATTACATTTGGACTTTATTCCTCCATCACCCCTTGCCCAGAACAATAATGAGATTACTCTGTCATTGTTTAAAGTATGTTATTTTGCCCTGGCCAGTTTGGTTCAGCGGTTAGAGCGTCGGCCTCCGGTCCTGAGAGACCCGGGTTCGGTTCCCGCTAAGGGCACGTACCTCGGTTGCAGTTTGTCCCCGGCCCTGGTCGGTTGTGCGGGTGGCAGCCACTCAATGTGTTCCTTTCACATCGATGTTTCTCTCTCTCTCTCTGTTTCTCTCTCTCCCTCCCACTCTACCTGAATAAAGTATGTTATTTCTGCCCAGCCGGTGCGGTTCAGTGACTGAGTGTCAACCAATGCACTAAGAGGTAACCGGTTCAATTCCTGGTCAGGACGCATGCCCGGTTTTCGGGCTTGATCCCCAGTAGGAGGTGTGCAGGAGGCAGCTGATCAATGGTTCTCTTTCTCATCGATGTTTCTATCTCTTTCTCCCTTTCCCTTCCTCTCTCTTTAAAAATCAATAAAAATATTTATTTTTAAAAGTATGTTATTTCTTTATTTGGCTTATTAAGAGGTAATTCGTTATTGGCTATTATCCTATATGCTATTGGCTTAGAAAATTATTATAATTCCCACAGCTACAATATCTAAATAAATTGCTGCCAAAACCAATTTCTGAGTATAACTTTTGTTGCCTCCCCAAAACAAAACAATCTATGATCCAAAATACAAAGAGATGACATAAGTTGATATATTTATTTCCTTCTAGTCTTTTTACTTACTCATTTTATTTATTTATTTAAAATATGTGGGGTTTTTTTTGAGAGAGGAAGGGAGAAAGAGACAGAAACATCAATGTGAGAGAGAATCATTGATCAGCTGCCTCCCACATGCCCCCCTACTGGGGATCAAGCCACAACCCCGGCATGTGTCCTGACTGGGAATCAAACCAGGACCCCTCAGTCCACAGGACGAAGCTCAATCCACTGAGCCACACCGGCCAGGCTATTTACTCATACTAATGTGTCTGAGATCATACAATACATACAATTTCATATCATGCTTTTTCACCTTAACAGTATTTTCCAACATTAAAATAACTTGTTTTTAAGGATTGTTTCAAATGGTAACTCAAGTTTTTAAAACCATTTTCCTTGCCATTCAGATTGTTTCCAATTTTTCTGCTATGTAAAGAATGACAAAAATCTTCAATCGCAAATCATTAAAAAAAGCTTAAAATACGATTATTCTGTTAATCTATAGATTTTATACACTGTTATTGATCAGATTATATGCTTATAGTACTAGAAGGGAAAAAGTCACATGGTTTTCAATACTGTCAAGGAAGCAAAGCAAACATGTAAATCATCTACAAACATGTAAATCATCTATGTAACAGTCATGATTAAATAAAATAGGTAGGGCTCCCTCTGGAAAGTTTCTTTCCTCATATGTTTACTCCCAAAAAGTAAAAGCAACAGCTAAACTTTTTTTTTTAGTACTTTGCTGTTTACAAAATGGATTTTTGTTTTGTTTTGTTTTTTAATCCTCACCCAAGGATGTTTTTCCATTTATCTCCAGAGTGAGAGGGGGAGAGAGAGAGAAACATCAATGTGAGAGAAGTTGCCTCCCGCATGACCCAGACCAGTGCTGGGGTCTGAATCGCAACCAAGGTACGTGCCCTTGACTGGAATCAAACCCTCAACTCTGGTCTGTGGGCCAATGCTACATCACTGAGCCAAACTGGCTAGAGCTATAAAATGGATTTTTAACATCTCTAGCTATATTACTTAAGCACTAAAGCCGTATTTCTAATGCCTACAAGACAATTCTGTTTTTAAATACTCTGATAAATATTTGGCATTATAATTTGTAGGTAAAATGAAAGAATGAATTAATAAATGTGAGAAGGGAAACATATACTGAGAACTATGTATCACCAGTAGTAGGCACAAGGGCTCCCCCTTCAAGGTACAGTCTAGCCCTGTGCTACCAAACTGTGGTCTAGCAACAGCATCACCGAGAAACTTGTTAGAACGCAGGACCCACTCCAGATCTACTGAATCAGAATATTTAACAGTTCTCCAGGTGAACTGTATGCCCATTAAAACTGAAGAAGCACTAGCAAACCACAGGTTCTAACCTGGGGTCCTTGTATATGTCTAGGATTGGAAACAGGAAATGTTAACCAGTGAAGACAGGAGGGAATCATTAACATACAAAGAACTACTAAAGAGTAGGAGGACTTAGCATCAACTTTATAAGAGGCATAATTACTACCACAAAGTACTTAATGGGTGGGTAACTGTCACAGATGAATCAGAGCAAAGAGGGTCATGGATCTTTGTAGCATCCAATGAAGACTATGGGGGAAAAATTACAAACCAACATTTTTCATATAATTTCAGAGACTTCAAACAACCTAAAGTCCATCCTCACCTCTTAAAGAACTCTGGCCCTGGCCAGTTTGGCTCAGACGGTTGGAGCGTCGGCCTGCGGACCAGAGAGTTCCAGGATCGGTTCCCACTAGGGGCATGTACCAGAAAAAAAAAAAAAAGAAGAACTCTGAACAATAAAACCACCAAGGTCCTTCCTACTATAGTATTTTAGAATTCTATTAAAGAAAGAAAGGAAAAGACTCCAAGAACACGCAAGCAGCAAGATTTTGGTAAAAAATAAAAAATATTACATTGCAATATACAGATAAAATGTATATAATGTTGGTAACCAATTTCACCCAATAAATTTAATTGTAAGAAAATATAAATTATTACAACAAAAACAGAGATTTCGAGTTAAATTTAGTCATCCAATCTAGTGTTCATCAGGGATAGAGGCACAAGGAGGAAAGTCTCCAGCCCCAAGTAAGTCTGTGGTAACAGGTTTTATTTGTTTATACTTCTGTATAAGATTTCAGTTAACAAAGTTCCATGCTAAAAAGGGTTGGGAAATTACTTTCATTTAACCCCGCATCTGAATAATGACAAGAAAAAATAAAGTGAGATGTCCTAAATTAAATTGCAGCAGGCAGGAGGGTGGAAGGTAGAGACAAGAGAGGCTAATCAGTTAACAGTTGCAGGCACAGAAAACTTCTTCCATTCCTCAATGTATGTCGAAACTTTGACTTAAACTTCCAGGTGGCTATTTCCTCCATTACACAGAGAAAACAGCCCAGTAGCTGAATATCAGGGGCCTATGCATGAACTTTCCAGCCTGTTGCCCACCACCACTCCAAAGGAGCAAACACTTCTTACAGAATCTGCACCTATCCCAGGACTAGCCCTGCTTTGCCTTCTCCCACCCTCTCTGTCTACAGTCAATGTAAGTTCTTTCAAAACAACCTAAATCTTTCCCCTTGGCTGGTTTGGGTCAGCGGTTAGAACATCAGCCTGAGGACCACAGAGTCTCGGGTTCGATTCCAGTCAAGGGCATGTATCTACCTCAGTTGCCGTTCAGTCCCAGCCCTGGTCAGGGTCGTGCGGGAGGCAATCGATCTCTCTCTCTCACATCAATGTTTCCCTCTCTTTCTTTCCTTCCTCCCTCCTCCTCTATCTGAAGATAAATGGAAAAATATCCTCAAGTGAGGATTTAAAACACAAAAAAACAAAAACAACCTAACCCTTTCCTCTCCAGGCTCAATGTATAAAAGAGCAGTGTCAGCTCCAGCCCAGCGGCCTTGCCTTCTCCAACCAGCCCTGCTGCTGGGTTACTGTACATGCCCCAGGACCTGGTCCTTTTCTGGCTAGCATAAACCCCCTTTGTTCCCCCCAGAAAAGCTTGCTGCTATGAAGGTTGTTGTTAACAGACACTTAAAATCAAGCTCAGAGCCCTGGCCGGTTTAGCTCAGCGGTTAGTGTTGGCCCTTGGACTGAAGGGTTGCAGGTTTGATTCCTAGTCAAGGGCATGTACCTTGGGTTGCAGGTTCGATCCCTGGCCCCGATTGGTGTTGTAGGGTGGCAACCAATCAATGTCTCTCTCTCACATAGATCTTTCCTCTCTCTCTCACCCTTTCTCCCTTCTACTCTATCTAAAAATCAATGGGAAAAGATCCTCATGTGAGGAATAACAAAAAATAAATAAATACAATAAATAAAGTCGAGCTCAGAGATCTAATCTAGTTTACTAAAAGTCAGGCAGCTGATCAGACACAGAGCTGAGATCAGACTTAACAGCCAATCACAACCTACAACTTCCATTTTTTTTTGTTTTCTTATTCAAAAGAGCTCTTTACCTCCACTCACCATGCATATGACCAAAATATAAAAAATAAAGTATGGAATCATTAAACAAAATAAATCCTGTTTCCTGGAATCCCTTGAAAGAAATTATACCAATTAAGTTATTATCATCAGCCCCAGCCAGTTGGGCTCAGTGGTTAGTGTCGGCCTGAGGACCA